AGTTTGGGAGCATGTGATTGAAATCACCAAGTGGAATATCCACACTGATTGTCCGGATGATCCTGACATTCTTGATAATTAATTTCAATTTTTCATTAATTTGTGAGCGTTTTTAAAACGCAGTTATTCGCTACTTTATCGTCATATTGAAGACATCTTGGACGTCTTCGACGGTCGGAACTTAAAACACTCTAACGCTGCTACTAGTTGCTGTCTGCTAGAGAAAAAGAATTTCGAGGAGAATTTCATGTTGCCTTCGGGAAAATTTCGAAAGAATGACCATCGCAACAAAAAATAAAAGGCTTTAATGGGCAAGAAGCAGCTTTTAAATCTTCATGTGCAATTTTTTGAAGGTAACTTTCGAAGACACCTTGAAAGCACGACACTTTTTAAAATGAAGCACCTAGATTTTACAGTAGATTGTCGCTCTTCTTCGCTTGCGCTAACACAACTGATAATTTTATGGTCTACAGATGGGGTGAGCAAGGCTACATTCGTTTCGGAGCTGGGCAAAACCTCTGCGAGTCGGAATCACGAAGTTACGGCGCGCAAATGTGAGGAGCCGGAAGGAGCAGCAGCACTGGCTCCATTCCAAACTGCTACCACGATGTGTTCATAAACTGTGCAACAAATTATAATGTTTAAATTGGTTAAGTCATTAAAATCAGTGCCTGTAGAACACATAAAACTTACTTGAACCTCGCGCAAATTGGTATTGTACCAGAAATGAAAAATACATCTAATGGTTGAAAATTTATACATATCCCAGGGCCATCATCTACTGTATGGTGGGCAGAAGTTGTGTATAAACCAACATCTAACTTTCATATAAAATTGGTTACATGTAATGCTGCCCACCAACCCCGTCCCAAGCCCCTGTTCTGCCCTTCTCGCTTTCCGCCCTCCCCATTGATGTGGCGTACGGTATTGAAGTATAAAAAATTGCGAATTTTTTATTAACATCTGTATTTCATTTGTTCATAACTGAACAGTCATCAAACTATAGGGCTCTGGATAAACTTTTCTTTGAACAAAAGTCAGTGTTATTCGAAAAGTACGCTGCTCTCATTAACAAATCATTTTACTGTTTGTTGATGACTTTGTCTGTATAGCGAAGAGGTGATTTTTTTTTTTGTCGAACTGTGTATTACCGGCAAAGCTGGCTCTCTGTAAAACAATAATAGTTAACGAAGTGTTCGATGACAAAATAATATTTGCTTGTACGAATGTCTGTAGGATGCAGAGTTCGGTACTTCACCAAGGTTCTCATGGCCATGCACACCAAACAATTTGCATAACTATGTGAGCTTGAATTTTATCGTTTTTCCATCAGTAATAAAGGTTATTTCCAAAGGCCCCTGTTTATCATAGAATAAGAGTTACGAAGACGAGTTCTGACATTAATTTTAAAGGGCCAATATTGCCAGCGCATGGTTTTTGCTCTTAGAGTCGTCTCACTCGACCCATTTCTGAGTACCTGTCTTCTTCATCATCAATTGAAACAAGGAGAGGGCTCCGACTTTTTGATGTAGCTAGCGATTGCCAGAAATACCAAAACAGCTAGGACAGTCGGGGTGAAGAACCCATGTTAATGCTGATTATGGGATGCTCGCGCATGCTTGACGTAGCTATTGCTAGGCCATTAGACCCTGAGCTAAATATCTCCTCTATGGACAGAGAGAGAGGTAAACAGCCTAGACGTTCACAAAAGCTTTCCATGCTCTCATTGGTACAAAAGCTTTCCGTTTTGCTGGCGACTGTAGGCTCTGAAAATTCCGGTGCAGCTTGCTAAGAAAACGGTGTCGCTCATAGTAGAAGTTGCAGCATTTGAGCTTCAAAACAGCATCTCTAGAAGGCTTTACTTGCTGAGCCAAGCAAATAGCAGAGGGTTTTTTCCACCGGCAAGCAACTCAGTAGTTTTACAGGAAATTCTGTGGAAGTGAAAATAGTAAGGCGTCAAGAAAGCGGGCTGAGACTCACTCACAGTCTATACTAAGCTGATCATTCGCAGTGCATATTCACTAGGCTGCACTGTGCAGGGGAAGCATTCAGCAGCCCAGCCACATGATTCTCAATAATCCGTTTTGCTCATCTGTTGTTTCTAATTCATGCTAGCAGATGATCAGCTTAGTATAAGAAATTTAGATAGCGGCTTGCGCATGAGATGCAAATACCTTGAGTGTGCATGCAGAAACTGCAGCATGCAAAATCTGATTTTAAATTTTATTAAAATTACACGGATACCTATCACAAATCATGCTACTGTCTTGTTTCATTTAATCAACCAGAAACACAGCAGTGTCGTGGGTATTTGCTTTAGAGAAATGAAATTTTGGTGAGCGTTCGATAGATTTCTCTGAATGTTGGCCGCTGTTTTGGCTCCTCCAGCCAGCATTTCTTGATCAAT